TCTGCACTTTTGTGAAAAAATGGCACACTGACTGTCAGGAAGAAGTTTGCTCAGTACAGTGAGGATAGAACGAGTGCCTTCTGAAACAGACACTCGCACATAGAAGCCATTGTAAGACTACACGACAACTGCACATGAAGTGTATAATTTGGGATTAGGCCATAGAAGCATTGCTTACGCACATGCAACCTGATGTGATCACCAGACATTAAATGGCATAACTGCTTTATATTACGTATTATAAAGCTGAAATAGATATATGACTGTACGAGCTATGGAGTTTGATGGATTTGATTTGTTCAGTCAGGCTTTTTAGTCATTGTTTTGAATACAATCTGGACATAATTGATTGATTGTATATTTTTTACAATACTTGCTCGAAAGTTTTAATGAGACCACTTGAAAATTCTTAGTATTTTTGGATTTACTGTATTTATTAGGTATAGGGTTTGAATAAAATGTTAATTTAGTTTATTATTATTATTATTATTATTATTATAGCACTTTTATAACACAAATTCAAAAAAAATTGTCATTTTTCCATTATGGGTCAGAATATCAAATATCTTAATTTGCTGTGAAAATCAGGGTTATTCCACTAAATTTAGACTTCTTAACTAGTCCGACATTAAAACAGTTGATATTGTGTTGTCTAATTAAATATAAACATGTCTCTTAATGCTTTCAGTAGTGTAAATATTTACCCTCTGAAATGGGAGTTTCAGTTCTGACATGGAAAGACTAATCTAAAAAGACTTGGCCACCTGACCAATCAGAGCAGACTTGGCTTATGGAGGAGAGAGGTTTACAGACATTCATAGCCAAATTATTCTATTAAATGCATTTTAAATGACATTGTTTTGTGATCTCAGGTGCATTTAAACCTATATAGAGAGCTCTGACATAATATTGTGACACTTTATAATGGCATATTAGCAGCTATTTACAACTAGAAGCTCTTTTCTTTTGATATATTTATTATACAGTATGTATTATATGTTAAGACAAGATGTTATGTAGCAACTTTGGGGCATGAAAAGCTGATGTATATGCACAATATATTGATATTTTACTCATAAATGAAGTATTATTAATATTATTTCAGCATATTACTTTAAGGTAATTCTAGAACAGCCACAGAATCAAATTATCAACATCGAAATTTTTCAGGTTGTCACTCAGAAATCTATTACTGATGCAATAACAAAAGCTCAGTGATCAAATATGCGGAAAAAAAATTACTAATATTTCCTTCTTAGACTTTACGACCTAAAACTTGCCTATAGCACTTAATGTTGCTCTTATAGTTGTGTAAATTGCTTCCTTGTCCTCATTTGTAAGTCGCTTTGGATAAAAGCGTCTGCTAAATGACTAAATGTAAATGTAAATATGATACACTGTTTTGAAACTAGAAACATGACTTCAACTTAATTCATCTCATGAGGCTTGTGTGATGTTCATGAGACATTATGTACTGTTACAACTTCCTGTAATAATAGGAAGTCAGCTGAGAAACCAAACTAGATTTGTCATGCCATTTCATTGGGTCTAATTATATTGTGTAATGTGAAATACTAGCTTCCTAAAAGTTGCATTGTTTAATGCTTTTTCAACAATTTCTTTTAGCTATGTCATAGCAGAAGAGCCAAAGAGGAGAAACTCCAGCAATGTATGAACACACACGGACAGTTTCCCGCCACACTTTAGATTTAATATCCCAAGAAGGTAATGTCCAGTTACTTCACTCATTTGCTTGTTCTACAAATATGTTTTCAACTCTTGCATTATTAATAAACAGTATATTATATGATTTATCGCAGGTTTGGGATCAATCTACCAGCAGACCGGTGGGTTTGAGACAAGCAGCGCATCTTGGGGTTTACAGTCTGGATTGGGCAAATATAAAATGCACACGACACAGATTTTGGCACCATTCTATAATGAAATAACAATTATTTGTTTTGCACAGAATTCCTAAAAAGTGTTACGCTCACGCTGGTTAATTAGAACAGATGTGAGCACGGCCCACACTTGACTGTGAACCAAAGGCTGTAATCAGAAGAGGGCGATCTGTTCTTAATAGTGTTCAGAAGCAGAAACCGAGTTCTAAGCTTATTAGTTGTGACAAATGGGATTGGGCCTTGTAAGCACTTGAAGATGATTCTCAACAATGTTAATGCTGCCGTAAACGTGCGACAAAAAACATACTGTATTTAATAATGTTGATAAAAAAAGCCTTTATTATAATTAGACATTGTATTATATGTTTATTTAATTTGATAGGTTAATAAAACATTTAGAATAATCCCTGTTGTGGTTTTGCATCTTGGGTGACATTCGTGCTTGTTTTCAAATAAAACGTCTTTTAAGGGCCAAGCAACCCCCACCTCAGCAGGGTGTTTTGACACCTCTAGTTTGAAAAAGGTCAGGAAAATGGCAGAGTCCAGCTTTGATTAGGTGGGAGTGGCAATAGAGGGAAGAGTTTGCTGAAAAGGGGTAGTTTCATTGCATGCAGTAAAGCTGATTTTCACAAAGGCAACACAGACATAGGGGGTGATAGACAGTGATTCAGATAGCAGATCTAGAAGATTTCAGAGCATAATATTGTAGTGATATTACTGTAAACTTAGTCACTAAATCATTTTGACTAAGGTATGTCTTTAAAAACTGAAAGAGTGCTGCTGACGATCCTCACTAACTTTGCCATCTGAATAAACATAAACAAAGAACACTGATCACACACTTACCAAATATTTAAAGAACGGACAATCAACACGAACTGGAACCGTTTCTTTTTTTAAAAGGAGACGAGTGGCAAATCCAGATTTCTCCATGTCCAGATTTGAAAAGCTCTCTGGTAAAAATTGTTCCTTATAAACATATTTTTGTCGTGTGTTAGCAGACCAATGTAATCCAACTGCTGGGTCCATAGTGAGTCCAATGGTGAGCTGTGCTCTCATCGCTGGGAAATGGAAACAAAACCTTCATTGCTGCACATTTATAAGCGCAACACTGATGACCCATGTCTCAAACTATTCTTCTTCTCCTTGTTTAAATTACAGTTGGCAACACAACATGGCATTTCTCTGAACACTGCAGCAGGTAAAAGTAGTCTTCGAAGCTAAATCATGCATATGAATGAAGTTTTTCTCATTCACAATAGAGCATACTGATTGGTTCAAACCAATTTTTTTTCATGAATTATTGCCCAGGTGGGCTGAAAACTCAATGGCGTCTCTTTGTACCCCAGACATCCAGCCATTACAGACATCCAATCCCCACACTGGAATTTACATAATGATTTTATCACCGTGACGTTGCTTCCAAAATTTGGAAAATTAACCGGAAATATTCTGAGAGATCGAATTAGCTGTAAACAACGAATGTGTTTAATAATATAATATAATATAATATAATATAATATAATATATAAAGCTAAATATATGTGTCCTAATAGTGTTTTTAGCAACGTGGCACATATATATGACTGTCAACATCTCAAAAATGTGTTTTGGTTTTGTGACCCTTTAAAATTGAATAAGGTAGCTGAATCTGGGATTTTCTATGACAGAGATGTCCACACTAAAGTTGGCTCATGTTAACCTTTGATTTGGCCCACCATTCTCTCTGAGAAGGGAAGAAGAATTATGGGGATTAAGTTTGTTTTCTTTTACTGTTGTGCAACAAAAAAAGCAAAACTGAAATTATTCGTATTAATTGTAAAGGAATAAGATGTATATAAAAACTCAGTTCTTGAATAATGGTGAGGTTTGAAAAGACAAACAAGGCGTGCATAAATCATTGAGAAGTGTGTAAACAGTGCAATCAAAAATCCCATGGTACTTGAGTAGGTATTAAGTGACTGATGGCATGAAGCGCCAACCTGATATCACCAAGTAGGACATGTCCCTGGATTAACAGGTATGTTGATCCTGGAACAACATTCAAAACATCTAATCAGAATTGGGGGTATGTTTAATGTTTATTTAACGTTTTTAACGTGATTTTTGGCTTACGGTTAGGTTAATGCACTTCTACATGATTGTTATCCAACTATTCTTGCCCTCTGATTTTGGGAATAATGTACGGTAATGTTTAGGTTTATGGGTAGGGAATGGGTATGGATTACGTTTTTGAACGAAACTGACGCTCCAGGATCGACATAGATGTTAAAATGCACTTCTGAGTCATCTTACTAAGACGATCACGGTGTGACTTCATCATAGTTTTTGTACACTAGTTGAAACCCACAAAACACACTCTGAAAGGCAGGTATGCATTTTTATTTATGCATGCATGAATGTATTAATAAATGTATGTATGTATACATATTTTTATTTTATAATCGTTTTATTTACAAAAAAAATCTGTTTTTATTTATAACTTTATTAATACTGCAGTAGTTGCTTAAAGAAAAATACCAAACATAGATTTATAGGTAAAGTCAAACTCCTAGCCTCCACAAGTTTCCATCAGTTGTACCCTTTCAAATCCTTCATTCCATGGGGCCCTTTAAAGTGATCAGTTTTGAGCACTTCAATGTGGCGGCCATGATTGTTTTCACACTAAAGTGCCTTACAGGGTGTGATGCAGTCTAGCCCCGGGCTATTTATAATATCAAACTTAACTTTGTATTCTGTTGGAAATGCACTGATGATATCCATTTGATGCACAATTCAGAATCTTGCTTGAAGTAGTAGGTTATCTGGGTATTTCTCACTTACTGTTTTCCAAATACTAATTCGGACATAGTACACGGCTCACATCCTGTTGTGCACATACTACACAGTAGGAAAGTATGACCTTTCAGATGCACCCTTTGAAAATACTTGGTGTTTAATTTCAAATAATTGCAGGACCTCATTGAAGAAACCTGTCCAAGAAAAAAAAATCATATTAGAGTTCAGTTTGTTGCTGCTGCACATTTTAAAGTGATCTTCATCTTGTTCTGTAGCTTAAATATACCCAGATTTATACAAATTACATTGCAGATCTTGAAGTGAATTGTCTCCAGAAATGTTGTATTTGTTGTTTATTGAGAGCCCAACAAATGAATACACATGTAGGATCCAGACAAATCTATCAGTGTAGTTGAAATGCTCATCACAGGGATTGATTGTCTATGGGTCAGAGTTTGTCTACAGGTACAGAAATGGGAAGTAAATGTGGTGTGGCTGCCGTACAATTCTCACTTCCATTCAGTTCTCGTTTTCACATGTACAATAAATTCTCACGATTTATATTTAAGATGGAACACGCAGGTTGGAAATCTGTTGGTCTTGATAGGCACAGTCCAAATTCCATGAAGATATGGGCTATGTTTGGAATGGAATACTAGCATACTCTATATACTGTCTAAGAAAACACTTCCCAAACAAAAAATGTCAGGGCCTAAAATGTAATGACAAATGTGACAAAAATTGCCCTGGTAATTTTTTTTAAATTTTAGTAATAGTACTGCTCAAGAACGTAATGTGGTTTATTTACACATGAGCAGCTCGTTGTAACAGTGTTTTCAGTGTCTTGGAGCAGTTGGTTCACTTGTAACCTCACATTCGATTGGAAATGCAAGTTTTTACCTTGCAGTTTACCAACGAAATAAAAGTTCTGGGGTTACCAAAGGAATATTGGCAGTCAAGAATGACTTTTTGTATTGCTTTGTAGGATGCAATATTTTAAGAAGCGTGAAATTTGGCAAAAGCAAAACATATTCTAACCCAGCAGGCACACAACGTTACTATTAGGTTAGATTTATGGTCATGACGTTAGTTGACCAAAATTCAATGTCTTTCCAGCATCTAAGAACAACGTTATTTTAACATCCAGTAATGATGTCAGATCATGTTGATATTAAGTTGATTTAAGGTTGTGTTAGAAAGTGACCAAATTCCAGCATCAAGCCAACATCTCAACCCAAAATCATATTGACGTCAAATACTGACATTTATTCGTCAGGTATGGCAACCAAAATCCAATGTCTGATAGACGTCATAGTGGGAACGTCCACACAACGTCAAGCTGTTACATTACTAGAGGTTGATATTTGGTTGATTTTAGGTTGGACATTGATGTTGGATTCTGACGTCAACCCGATTTTCATTTCCAAACAAAATGAAGCGTCCCCACAAGGTTGGGGTACAACATCAGTCTGATATCATGTTGACATCCTGTGCCTGCTGGGGCATTTCCGATATATGTTTTGTGCATTTGCATAAGTAGTATGACAATATGCTGCTCCGAACATAGCTATAGACCAAATAAATAAACAAAATCATCAGTGAAATACACAGTGAAACTAAAACTTAAATACTGAGATAATGCTTTACTGGACAAAAGGTGTTTTTCCTCAGACTGTTTCATGATATGTGTATTTGTGCTCGTACTGTATTTAAATATAAATTCACACGTTCATTTAAAATAAAATAACATTTAAAAAACAGCACAGTTCCCAGTTCGGTACCCGTTACTATGCTTTTATCCCTCATTGTTACCAGTTCTGTTCAATTCAGGCAGGTATTTTGACCACCTCTTCAGAATCGGGGTCTTTATTGTCATCTCCAACACTGGAGGAGTGGCTGCTGAGATCAGCCACCCCTGACTCCAAATCACTGCAGGTTGAAAGGTCATCAGGGTCACCGTTCTTGGTCTGGGCTGCTAGATCTAGCGGCAGTGTGAAGGAAGGAGTGTGTTTCTCGCCTCTCGGGGTGCTGAAGTAGTCTTGAGGGCTGTCGAGTTCACCCTCATTCGGAGTGGGACGGCGAGCGCGTTCAGACAACCTGCTGATCTTCTTCCTCTCCCCTGAAGTTTTCTTCTCCTTCAGCTGGGCAAGTCTCTGTTAAGGTGAGTACGTTTGAAAGAGTTGGTCAGTTTTACATGAAAGGAACGAATTCTGATAGATTGTGTTTGAAATGGAACACTAGGATGCTGCATAGTATTTTGAATGTGTAATAAGGGAATAAATTGTGCACCTATTCTCTACATCTGGATGCGTTTTAAAGGGGTCCTATTATGCTTTAATTATAAGCTGTAATAAAAGTCTCTGAAGTTTCAGCTTTTAATTACAGATTGTAATTACGTTACAGATCATGTTTTAAATGGCCGTTTTTTGGGCTGAAGAAAACGTTTTTTGTGTTTCTTTAAATGCAAATGAGCTTCCACATCCTTTCAAAAGGAGATCACTCAGGCAACAAGCAAAACATCTGCAGTTTTTAAATCTTTGTCAGTTTGACCCACTTCGTATATATTATTTAGTTTATTTTTCCAACATGTGAGCATTAAACTGACAGACTTTAAGACACCAGTTACCTGGCATTTAAATCCATCTCTTTTGTCCACTTTTATCTACTTTTTACATAATAATAATAATAATAAACTTAACTAAGATTTACACCCTTTTGGTGAACATTTTTTTACAGTTACAAATATGGAGTAAATGTTAAAGCACCAAAATATTACTTTTAAAATGTACATTAGTTGTTGGCGCCAATAGCCTAATGGTTAGTGTGTCGACACATAGCACTGAGTTGCTCGCAGTGACCCGAGTTCGATTCCCATCTCGAGGTCCTTTGCTGATCCTTCCCCTATCTCTGCTCCCCACACTTTCCTGTTTTCCTAGATCTCCACTGTCCTATCAATAAAGGTGAAAACCCCTAAAAAATAAAATAAAAAATGTATATTAGTAAACTGATGTTTAAATATTTGATTAAATTCATAAATTAATTAGCTTTTGTTTCTACTCTGATAGCCGCGAAACTAAACCAGGACTAGTAAGAGAACGTTTGCTTTTGTTTCTTTGGCCTTCAAAACTATCATCAGAGAGGGCAAAGTTTAATTCTTGCATGGTCAGTGTGCTTTAACAACACGCCCCGTAATGTTTAAGAATGCAGAGAGTCAGTCTTTTGTAGCTGTTTGAGAACACTCAACAATATGAGCATCTACACCAACAAAAGCTAACAAAGAAAACTGTATTACAAGTTCAAAACCTTTCTCTTGGACACGGCAACAACAAACTAACACAACTCAACCAAGAATTCTTAAAATCCAGTACATTGTGATGTGTACTTTCCTAGAAGGAATCTCAGAAGTTTTCCCGTATGACAAGTCGAGGTGTCATTAAAGGGGTCGTATTGCAAAAAAAAAAAAACATTATTTTGTGTATTTAGACTAAAACAATGTTTTTAAAAATACTAGATTTTCCACATGACATACATTTTGTTGCTCATCTCTGGTATTTCTTTGAGAAACATGATGCTTTTGACAAATCTCCCAGTTCTGAAAAACAGTGTGCCCTAATTGGACAGATATCAGGTGCACTATGATTGACCGAATACCTCAAATGTGAAATGGAAAGTACCCTTAATACTTTAACAAATTCAAAACTTAATCAGATCCAGAAAATGCAGATGACCAAGCTGAATGTTCTATTTTCTCAGAGCAGCTTACAGATGGGTAAGGATTTAACAAACAATGCAGTTTTTATTTTGGCCTTCTTACATTTGGCCAGTGTTTTGAAAATTCTCTCCCTGACTGATGTACACTACCTGACAAAAGTCTTGTCGTCGATCCCAGTTGTAAGAGCAACAAATGATAACCTTACTTCTAGTTGATTATTTGGAAAAGCGGCAGAAGGTAGATTTTTCAGATGAATCATCTGCTGAACTGCATCTCAATCATCACAAATACTGCAGAAGACTTATTGGAACCTGCATGGACCTAAGATTCTCTCAGAAATCAGTAAAGATTGATGAAGGAAAATCATGGTTTAGGGTTACATTTAGTAAAGGGGAGTGTGAGAGATCTGCAGTGGATGACAACATTGACAGTTTAAGGTATCAAGACATTTGTGCTGCCCATTACATCACAAAACCGCAAACTGAAGAGCGGGGAGCGTTGGGTTAGTTGTGCATAGGGACTGCAACAGAAAGCTGAGGAGCAGGAGGGTTGGGGGTGGAATTCCGGGAGACAGAACAAAGCAGGAGATGGGTCTGAAATACGGGAGACTCCTAGGGAAAACGGGAGTGTTGGCAGGTATGAACTTGTGGGGGAAAACGGAGCACCCGAGGGAAACCTACGCAAAATCAGGGAGAACATGCAACCCCATACAGAACACAACTGACCCAGCCGAGACTCGAACCAGTGACCTTCTTGCTGTGAGGTGACATAGCTACCTTCTGCAGTGCCCTGGTCATATTTTATTTTAGTAAAATAAGAGTAATCTAGAGGCCTTTGCCTTCCATATAAGTCACTTCTGATACCAAACAATCCAACTAGAAGTCAAGTTATTATTTGTTATTCCTAAACCTGAAATAGGCAACAAAACTTTTGTCAGGTAGTGTAGATTTGTAGGGGCGTGTTTGAACGAGGTATTTTAGGAAAGTGTGGATTAACAAGTAAGTCTTTACATCTATAAAGTACATGTATTTGGGTTTGAAGCTTTAGTCTTTGAAAGATTACAGATCGTATCTATGCATGATAAAAAATAATAATAATGATAATTCAAAGACAAATTAAAATATGAAATTGCATCATAAAGCCCCTTAAAGAAGTTCAAAAACTGTTTACTTGTACAGAGAGTGACTCCCTATGCAACTGGATTGCTTTGATTTTCTTTTTCGCATGGTCAATCAGGAACATTAAATGCACAAAAGAAACTAAAAGTGTAAAAAAGCATATTAGGACCCCTTTAAGAATGGTACATATGTGATATTTATGCATGCAAGTGTATGCCTTGGCCAGCGTCCGTCTCCCGCGGTACCTCCTGGTGGGCTGTAAGCTCCTCCTCCAGCTGCTGTGACTCCTCCCTCACTGCGTTCAGACAGTCTGCTGGAGACTGCTGAGAAGACAAACTTCTCTCTGCACGGCCGTACATCCCCTTCCAAAACCTACAACATCGTTCCCAGCTCATTATCTTCTATTGCGCATTAATATCTATCAAACCCAATTTAAGCCCATAATGCATTTAGGATGGCAAATAAAGGGTTAATAATAAAATAATAATAAAAAAGCATAAACATAAAGTCAAACATGCTATTACATGTCTTTTAAATGCTTTCTAAGAAAACATTTATATTCATAGACGTTTACTTAAACTTTAATGCATTAAAATAATTCATAAAACCAAAAGAACACGCAAAAAGATTCAAAATATGCAAATATGAGACACTGCATTGTAAGTGTGAGGTTGAATGGATGTATCGAGGTATGCTTTATCTTTTAATTAAGCTATTTGGTTTAAACTTGACCTTTAATTATATCTAAATCATTAAGAGGCTAAAAGACAGATCTGTTCAAATATGTCATGTAGAAGTTTCTTCACTAATGTTAGGTGTAATAAATTAGCTGTGCAAGAAACATCTCATGGATCCATTTGGGACACATCCTCAGATCCTGGGATCATTGGGTGTTTTGGTTCTTTCAACATCATACACTCTCACCCAGGTGACCCAGCCGGGTTGGATCAAGTCCCAACTTGCGTCCCAGTAGCAGTCCACGGATCCGCCCTCTTAATCCACAGCCACCTTGTGGCCTTCTCTGCGGCTTTGCTTGCGGATCGAATGGTCCTTTTCTTAGCCACCCCTGTAACTCCCAAACGACTGAAGACTTTGCAAAGTGAACGCCCTTCAAAGCCTCTATATCCTACTTCTATGGGCTCATAGAAAGTTCTCCAGCCTTTCTCCCTGCACTCCTCCACTAATTCCTGGTACTTAGCATGCTTCCTCTCATTTTCTTCTAGCTAATTCCTACAGAAGCATGACCAATAAAAAAAGAGCTTGACTTACTTGAAGCAGTAGGCAGTGGTGAGAGGTCTGAGAACCCCCTGTGTCTGGCTGTGGTCTGTCCTGTAGAGAGGGTTGGTGTATTCAGCTCTGTTCTCCCACAGATGTGGCCACAGAGAGTGTGTTCTCTCCTGTAACCTGCACAGTGCAAAATGAATGAGTAAACAAACAAATAAAAGTATAAAAACCGAGGTAATTCAGCAGCTGCTTCACCTTTTCTTTGAAAAAAAAAAAAAAAGAGCTGCATCAAAGGCTTACCGCAATTATAAAAAGCAAATCTGATGTCAACCTCAGTTCTCAATTGCTGTAGAAGGTTAGTGTTTAATATTAATATAAAGTAACTGACATTACCAAAGTTATATGGATATTGCAAAGAATTTAGTGATTTTTTTTTCTGGTCAAAAGTGCCAAAAATGAAAAAAAAGACATCTAAATAAAGGGGATGAAATGCTCTGCTTTTACGAGACAACAGAATAGTTTATCGGTGTATCACTGCCAAAGTATTTCAAACATTTTACTTCTAATCAAAGACAAAAGAACTTTTTTATTTATTTGGGAAAATAACGTTCAAAACATGTTCTATAAGTTCTAGCTGCAGTTCATTTAGCAGCCACCGGTGTCACTAATAACCAGGGTCTCTGAATTCTACATCAACCTTTAAAGGAGTTTGTCCTCACTGCAGCCTGTAGAACGATTACTTACTGCATCAGCTCCAATACATAGTTGATGTTTACGCATATGCACAAGCTTTTGTTGCTAGAAACGAGAATTGTTTATATTAATAATTAAATTACCCATTACATTGTCTTATGTCTACCCCTACTCCAACCCTAAACCCAATTTTCACAATTATTAAAAAGCCCCTATTATGCATTAAAAAGGGTCATATTTTGGTTTTTGGGGGTTTCCAACAACAGGATGATATGCATGCAAGGTCAAAAAACACTTTCCTTGTCTTATATTTTGCATTTAGTTTTACCTAATTATCCCAATGACTCCAATATGATTCGTCCAGTTATTAATTTGTTTCCAAACCCCTCCTTATCGTGAAGCTAATCTTCGGAGATTGGAGAGCTAGTCTGTTGTGATCGGTCGATTGCGTTCAGCGCAAGACATAGAAAAATAACCCAGCACAGCTTTTTTTTTTTTTTAAATTAAGGTAGTCAGAGTGCAGAGTATAGGTGTGAGCCCAATGCAGGAGTGCATTAAAGCAATGCAGTTGAACACCAGCATATTGCTCTATTCTTAACCATAAGTAAAAACAGTGACACGCATTCAGTATTAATCCACACAGAGGCAAAAGCTGAACTATTTTGAAACTTGACCGCCGCACGTGTGTAGGAACAACTGACGGTGGCCATAGCAACTACAAACGGCAGTAGACAAATGCATTTATATCTGTAAACAATGCAGCACGTGTTGTGTTTTCAATGTGGTTTTAGACTCGATATAAGAATATAAAGAGTTAACCAGATACAGTACAAGCCATGTGGAGTGGTTACAAGTAACAAAACACAATTAAATACATAATTTGCAAGCTAGAGAAAACAAGGAGGTAACCATTTTAATCGCACTTAAGTTACTTACACTTATGAAATGGAGGAAGGAACTCGTCCATGAACTGTGTACTGTAAAGCTCCAATCAAGCTCTGATGAAGTCACATACATCAATAGTCTTTTCTGGTCCTTCCTCTAACAAATGGCTGGCGAATCCCCCATTGTATGCATGTGGATTGCTGAAGCACTCATAAGAAAAATGAAGGGAACACAGCACAAGGCTGGGGCTATAATGCTGAGGTATTTTTGCAAAAATAAACTTCAACCACTGACTCTTCACAACCTCATCTTTGGGTAGGGAAAATAAAACTAACAATTTTCCCAGGTCTGCGCGCACAGCAAATGGGCAGGGCTTGAGTTCCATATCGACATCACACTGGCACGGCTAAAGACTAGTTACCACAGCGATTTATTCAAACTACAAGCAATAGTTTGAAACATGGTGCACTTTCAGATTGAAGATTGAAGCCTTAGCTGGATATTTCACTTCACTTAGAGCTGTGTTGCACACTGGATGGAAGATGATTTTCAAGAACCCATAATATGGGCTCTTCAACATCTTCATTTACCTTATCCTTAAACCCACCCATCACAGTAGCATTGGCGTTACAATGTCCACTACGTATTGACTCTGATCCAGCACATCGTCTTGCTACAGACTGCAGCAAAGGCATCATGGCTTTAAGGTATTTAAACAATGCAGACAATCACCCTATTTTTGCATTTTACAACACCATTGGTACTAAGTGGACCCCTATTGTTGAATTTGTTCTGTCTATCTGCAGTTGATACGAGAAGCACTCGACTAGCTCATTCCAATGAGGTGCGCTATTTGCATTTAGCCTAAATAGACACTCCAAAATTATCATTTTAAACAGTTAAACTATACAGTACAAGATACACACACAGCTGCCTAAAGAAAGCCGTTTTCGCACCATTTACAGGTAGCTCATGTGCTCACTGTATCGGTTTAGTATGCTCACCATGTTACATAACTGCCCCCTGCTGGCCATGTATTTCTTGTGTTAGACCATGTTGTGCTCTGACGCACCTTACTGCGGAAATGTGCGATTTCTCTTTAAATCACTCACACATTCTCAGTAGCCATATTTGTACTACAAAATAGAGATTCAGCACACAGAGTTCAGAAATGTTTTGTTGTTGTTCATGACTTTTACATTGTTTGGTAAGTTTGAAATTGCATTTGTTTAATCTGTCTATTTTTTCCTGGATTTTGTATTCCCATAGTCCCTAAATACACGTAAAAGCAGGGAATAAGATTACATTTGTTACCCATTTTGTGTCCCCCCATTTGAGTGTACTTATTAGTTGACTATTAGCATTGTAATTTGTTCAGGTTTTCACCAGTTCTTCAATGTCGGCTCGTTGTGTATCTGTGCTTTATTAGAGGTTCACATAATGTGATTTTGTTTCCTTGTGGACTCTGTACTTGATTTTTTTTTCTTCACAGTGGGTGCACAGAGTTTCCATCATTTTAGGTAGTTCTTCACACTAATAAACATCCAAGTGTTTTTGTTGTTGATTAAGTCAGATTTTACTTCATGTAATGTTTCTAAAAACAGATACAAGTTTAGTATGGGAGTTTAAGCCAAACTTTGTAACTGCAGCCCCAGTTCATGATCGCTTCTGTTGGCACCATCATCCAAAAGGTGACAGCGATCATACCTGGGACATTTTGAAGCTTCACTTTTTTTTACAGCGTAGGCAAATGGTGGTTTATGTTTCAATCTATGACCCATATTCATGAATGTTGCATAGCTGTAGTAGCATCTAAATGGATTTAGCCATTTTAAGGGGAGTATGGGCGACACAGTGGCTCAGTGGTTAGCACTGTAGCCTCACAGCAAGAAGGTCGCTGGTTAAAACATATGTTGAAAAGTTGGCAGTTCATTCTGATGTGGTGACCCCTAATGAAGGAAAATGAATAAGGGCAGTATGCCAATAATGGGTGCTGGTCATCTATAAAACCAATAGTACCTATATAACTATCCCAATTGCATGATTAAAAGTAGTTATATTAAAACAAAAGTAGATGGTTCAAACTTCTGTCAAGCTGTATCCTACAGTTAGCCTACATGATCTGACATGCTGAGCTGCAGGTGCTCATGCAGCTGCTTCAAGCAAAATGCTGTTGTTTTTCTTACTTCAAGTCTCTCCGTTCTTTCTGGCAGTTGCCAATAAAGTTCCCGTACTGGCAGGAGTAGATGAGCATGTGCAGCTGTATTAGGAATCGCTCGTTGAACTCAAACGCACAGGGGAACTGCTGCATCAACTGCCACACACACTCCAGAAATTGGTCCATGACTGGAGAAACCTCTTTAGGGTCGCCGTCAAGATGAGCATATCTGTATGTAGAAGATTTTAATAAAGCTCATATATTAATATGAATAAGTTCATGTTCATTTTTTTAAAACGCATGTTTAAAAAAACTAATTGCTGACCAATAAAAAGCTATCCATATATACAAAGCAGAGAGGACTAAACATGAATTAAAAAATACTAATAGAGATATATACAAAGTATTCTGAAACTAGAGTGACGACATGACAAGATAATTATTACTAAGCGAGATCAAACAAGTGGACTTGAAAATGGATACGAAAGGGGGCACTCTAATCTCTAGAGGCTGATTGTTCCACAATAATAGTAATCAGAAATATTTTAATCATACATTCAAATTATAAATAGACACTCTAATGATAACTCTTATTTAATTCCAAAAGTGGCTTTTCTCAAATTCCTTTCACTTAAAGAGGACCTGTCATGCAAAAATCACCTTTTAAGGGGTTTAAACACAGAGTTTAAGTTTAACATTGTGTGTTTGTTGTTGTTTGTGGCAACATTGTGTGAATATAGGCAGCCACTAAAGATAAAATTTTGTCGATTTTTATAATCACACTTTTTAAAAACCGTCTGCAGAAATGCTTTGACATTGTCCTTTTGTACATTTCATTGGAGGGGCAAGCTCCTGCCCTCTAGTGACAAGCTCTCCCTTATTGGCATAAACAGCCCTGAGTGAGAAGCAGCCATCCGAGATTTCACATTTCGAGTTTTCACACTATACCTGCCAACTAAGGCATTAAAAATGTGTTTTAGGATGCACAGATAGACTATCCATAGACTACTTTCTTCCGAGACACTTCTTTTGACATTTTCCGATTTTCACACAGATAACGTTGGTCCTGTGTTAAATCTGATGCTATGGTGATGTATAGTTCTTCCTAAAAAGAGGGCTGGGAGCACAATCTCTCTTCAACAAAGCGACAGTCACCAAAACTAAACAATTTGGATCAAAGGCTATAAGGGTCAGTTTTAAAGACTTCTAAAACTTATTTAAGGGGTATTTTGTGCTGAAACTTCACATGAACAAATCTTTAGAGACTCTTTACATTTTGCAATAAGGGGTATGAAAGGTCTCCTTTAAATATACTGTACCACCTTGGTGTTTCACAAGAACTAGTGTCATAACTGACATTAAACCAAGACAAGTTTGAGCTGTGAAGCCCGACTACCCGTTGTTGCAATAAACAGTATATTGGACCTAAAAATTCTTAAAAATGTCTCCTTTAGTGTCACATGTACAAAACTGAACATTTTTGGTTAAACTGACCCCTGTGTGCAGAGTGTTGTGGCTCACCTAAAGTTTACAGACGTACAGTCTAAGTGTGCATACTGCATAACTGATGGTTTAGTCACAGTGACTGCTATGACACAAGGAATGAGGCCTTTCTGGTTTTACAAATTATTCATGCACAACAAACACAGAAGAGGAGATTCACAGAATGTTCTACAATTCGATTAAGGATTAGAAATCAACTGTGAATAGTGCGTGAGGCCATAAATGTGCAAATCAAAATGAGAAACACAAACCTGTGAGAAAACTTGTGTCCAAACGACACCCAGTCCTTCTCAATCAGAACCTACAAGAAAGGAGACTTGTGTTCAAATACTGATGAAAAACATTTTACAAATTGCACTAAAATCAGGTAAATAAGGGGTAAAGCATTTAAAACATTTTAAAATCGTCCACTTTTGCCCACTTCCAGAGGCTGTCAAAAGCATTTGATTAGATTTAATTTGCTTTTATGTCTTTGAATTTGATCAAACAGCCACAAAAGACAAACTAATGATTAAACATCTTATGATTATGGGATAAGTGTTGTGATGGAGTACACAAAAAACAAGGTATTCATACCTAGCACTGACAAAACATTGTAGTGTGCATCCACATACAAAGTCACTCGTATACCACATATTAGGGCTGCTCGATCATGGAAAAAGCATAATAACAATTAATTTAGTCAGTATTGTAACCCCAATTATTTTAAACGATTATGAGTAGGCCAGAGAGCAACAACTTTGAAGGATTTATTTAAGCTTAGTCGGCAGCAGGAACATAGCCCTGCTGGAAATAGGCTGGTATATTACCCAATATTAGTTTTATCTCGATTATTGTGTTTCATAATCGCTAAAGGACAAAATTGAACTTAAAGAACAACATGAAAACAAAATTAACCATATTAATTTTGTTAGCTCACACTGCTAGTTTTGTTGTGAACAATAAATCTGTGCATGTCATAAGGAAAAAAACAATGTTCCTGTTTGTTTTTAATTAAATTCTCAGATTACGTCTGTCTGAGGTGAGGTATTGGGCGTGGCTAACATACTTAACCACGCCCCTCCAACTGTTAGTTTTGACAGTGCTATGACAACAAACAGAAATAGTGAGGAGGAGATGTCTGTTCTGCTGTGTTGTTCACACTAGATGTGGTATGTGCAGATTAAATCTGCTTTATTTGCGCATCAAATTCACTTCACAATAAATGCAGATTTGCGTAGTGGGCAGGGCTTCTGTCTGCCTGGTGACTCTAGCTTCATTGCTAAATGGCTAACATGGATTTTATTGAGAGAATAACTATGTTTATTTGCTTTATGGAGGCTGAAAAACAGTGTTGACTCGTTTGGAGTCCACTAGATCCTTTCAGAGGTGGACCCAGTCCTGTAAGTTCATAAACTCTTCTAGAAACTATACCTGGTTGATGAAAGCTTTCAGCAGTGCTTCCAACTGAGCTGAGCCTAGTTTGATCAACTGTTGTCCCGTGTCGGCAGGAGTATTTTTCCCCGGGACACCAACAACAGGCACTACATCATAAGCACGCCCCTACAAGAGGAAGCTCCTGATTGGTTAACGCGGCGCGAATATCCGCTGAAGTTCAGATTTTCCAATTTGAGCAATTTGCTCCTTAAGGGCATCAATCGTACAAAACACTCAACTCGCGCCGCTTTATTCACGCAAATCACACCATTCATGCCACCTCATTCACCCGTATTGCACTGCAGGATGTCTTTGCATTAACTTAACATGTAAATCACTCGCGCTTTACGCTTCTTCTGCATCTGGTATGAATGCAGCATTAGGTTGTAATAACTCTATCGGAACTCTTTTCCTGATCTTTCTGAATGTAATGCATACTTTACTACATCCAATCAGCTTGCAGTAGAAAAAAACAAGCCACGTCCACCGTTTTCTCATTTTCATTCTTATGTGAAAAAAAAGCTGTCGCAGCTTCCTGTTCATGCCGACTTAAAATTTTGATTAATTATCAGTAATATCCTTGATAAAATGATAATGTTGTGTAACATTGTCAAAAGTGGAACTAAATAGGGCTGCATGTTTGTTCCACACAGACATATACACTTGCATGAATCAAATATCAGTTACTACCATCAATCCCTTGATAGTCCTGTAGTAGGGATCTAGTAGTACACTAGCCACCGAACAGGCCTGAGCTGTTCTGTCCCATCCATCTGAACAATGAACGAGAACACTAACTCCATCTTCTGCCACTGCCTGCACACACACATAAACAGAAAAATACATGATTATGTCAGTTATCTGCTATTCAAACTAACAGCGGTGCCAAAATTATTAGAATACCTGACAGATCTGAAAATATTGACCATTATATATACAGTGGGGGAAATACGGAGACCCGTAAGGAACGTAATGATGGAGAAAAAAATGGGTGGGAGAAAAAAAAAAAAGGGTGATAGGTAAAGATATTTTTGAAAGTTTTTGCGTTATCTCGCAAATTTGTTGTTCGACAAACATTTTACTTCATACATGACAACCCTCCTATTTTTGCCGGGATTGTCCTGTATTTTACCATTATATCCTATTATTAGGTATTTTTTTCTCTTATATTTTTAATCTTGAAAGCATGTTGAAATTAAAATGTCTGAATTCACGTTATTTCCATTAAAGCTGTGCGTCGATCAGTGCCCCTCTGCAACCTCTGAATCAGTGAATGCATGTATAGGCGCTGACTGACAAACGTGCTCAGTATGATAAACTGATCCCAGATCAGCTTCTGTACACGCCATTTAAAGTGACACCTCTGTTTTCAAACAAGTGAAGAGCAGCAAATGAATCTCTCATTTTGTCTTGTTAGATAAATTAGGTGTAACTTTACGAAAGCAATGATATATAACAAAAGCATGATTTAACTGTTTGAGCTCATTCAAGAGGAAATTATTTGTGTTTAAAATAAAACACGCAGGACATCCGGGCATGTTTACATATTATTAAGTGTATTTGTCTGTTTAAACACACACCCTAATTTTAAATTGTCCTGCACTTTAGCTCTTCTTTAAATGGCGTGTACAGCTGATCTGGGAGTCAGTCAGCGCATTTACATGCATTCACTGATTCAGAGGTTGCATATGAGGGGCGCTGATCAACGCACAGCTTTATTGGAAAGAATGTGAATTCAGACATTTTTATATTCATTTCAACATGCTTTTAAGATTAAAAATATGAGAGAAATATGGAAAAATACCTAATAATAGGATATAATGTAAAAGACATATTTACGTTCCCTCGCAAAACCTATTTGCAAGGGAATGCAAAAACTTTCAAAAATATGTTTAGCAATCACTTTTATTTTTTCTCCCACCCATTTTTTTTTTTCCTTTCACCCATTTTTTTCTCCACCATCACGTCCCTTCCAGGTCTCCGTAGGGAAAAGTATTCAACACATCATGTTTTTGTTTTTTTTCTGGGAAAATATTCTTAAGGACCTGTTGACATGGAATTAAACCCGATTTTGGTTAAAACTCAAACAATACAAACATAAAAATACAAAAAAAAATGTGTAATTATGGAATGACAAAAATAAAGTGCTGAACTACTAAAATGTATTTATTACTTTATATAAAAGGCTTTTTTGGTGATGGCGGTTTAAAGACGCCTCTCATATGGAGAATGAAGTCACATGCACTGATCAGGTGTGATTTTTTTCACAGACTTCAAGAGTGTGTAAAAATCTTGATGGTTCTGTGGGTCTCGTCCATCAAATCTGATCCCTATTTTGTATTGTCTATTGGATTCGAGTCAGCTGATTGGCTTGGCCATTCTACAGCTTGATTTTCTTTTTCTGAAAGCATTCGAGAGTTTCCTTGGATTTGTTTTGGATCGTTTTGGATTTAAGTTCTCCCCCAACCTCCCGCTGGCCTGCAGGTACACACACTAATGGATGCTGCTCTCTCATTAGCTGTAGGTAATCACTGATGTTATTTTCAATCAGAACACATTACGCATGGCATGAATCAATTTTGAATCAATGACAGGTCCAGATATTTAGCATGTCAAATATTTCACGGGTGTTGGCGTCTCATCAGCGATTCTCTCAGATTGCACCTTTGATAGTTCACAGTGTGTGATTGTCACTCACATGAACAAGCACCGGTTTGCCTGTCAGCTAGTTAAAATCTTGGCAGTCTGAACTCTGCATTATATAAAGAAAATGTTTTAAGAATTTTGTAAAAAATCCAGGGTTCCACAAAATTCTTCCAACACAAATTGTCTGACGATTACGTTAACTTGATTGTTTTATGTTCAATCCAATAAAATGTGTTAAGTTTTATGCTCAATCATCCCAAAGAAATCTCAAGAATTGTGTTTTTAAATAGTTTCTACTATTTTAAATAGTAGTTTGAACAAGCAGCAAATAAAAAATTTTTTTTGAGTGTAGATTTTCTATACTCTGAATATTTATCATGGATTTTTATGTCATCTCATTCATTCATTCATTGATTTTCTTTTCAGCTTAGTCCCTTTATTAATCTGGGGTCGCCACAGCGGAATGAACCGCCAACTTATCCAGCACGTTTTTACGCAGTGGATGCCCTTCCAGCCGCAACCCATCTCTGGGAAAAGTCATCTCAGGAAGGCTTTTTAAAACTCATATTTAAAACGTGAAAGTCCTGCCTTTGCGATGAAGACTCCAGCATCTAGTACAGCTTTGATGTGTTTTAGCCACCCTGAGTTTTCCAGACCCCAGAGGAAATCAGCCATGGAGGGAGCCGCCATATCACCGACTGAAACAGAGACAGGTAAGCAGCTTTTTTCATATGGACAGCAAGAGATCACCAGATGGATGTCTGCTGATAAAGAAGTAAAGAAGATTCAATTATCTACCATCTATAAGCTTCTGTTGGCTGTTTCTCATGACATGGATGTTTTCTATGCCAATGAACTGAAGTTTTATGTTAGTGTAGTGGTCTTCATTTTCATAGCCCTTCCCTGCGGCACGATTAGCCATGGCATTCAGCTGGAGATAGTTACAAAGAGAGGTTTTTTACAAGATATTACAAGATACAAATTATATTGCAGTAAAGTGTATTTTAATAGAAATAATTAACAGTTTAAGTGCAAAAAGTAAACAAGTTATTTATTTAATTTTAGGATTTATACAAAGGGGCAAACCCATCAATATGCCTTGAAATTAATTTCAATAGGCTGCTATCATTCTAAAGCAGGGGTGTCCAAACTCAGTCCTGGAGGGCCGGTGTCCTGCATATCTTAGTTCCAACCCCAATTAAACACACCTGAACCAGCTAATCAAGCTCTTTCTAGTTCTAGAAACTTCCAGGCAGGTGTGTCGAAGGAAATTGAAGCTAAACTATGCAAGAAACAGGCCCTCCAGGACCGAGTTTGGACACCCCTGTTCAAAAGAAATCTTGTAATATGTATGGCTTTTAAGCTAGAATTCTTTATTTTGCAAGGACACATTAAATTAACCAAATGGGGGTTTACATTAATAAATAATATGTTTTTAAAACGGCTGTTCTTTTGACCTTTCAGCTCATTAAAGAATCATAAGGGTGAAAAAACTCATCATGGTTTCCTGTTTCACTGACTGAATTCTGCATTCTCGCAAGATCTTCTCTCATCAAAAATAAAAAAAAAGCAAGGAAGAGGTTCATTTCACAGCTTTTGTTATTTTAAAAACTGAACCGGACATGTTTTCTCTGAGTGGCCAGATTTTTGTGTGTCAAAGGCTTCATGTGTACTCTATTATTAATTATTATAATATAAATACACTTCATTAAACATGTACACATAGACATCACCTACAGTTGAAGTCAGACTTATTAGCCCCCTGTTTTTTTTCCCCCCAATTTCTGTTTAACGGAGAGATTTATTACAGTTACATTACATTTACAGTATTACATTACAGTTACAGTAATTAGGCAAGTTATTATGTAACGATGGTTTGTTCTGTAGACTATTGAAAAAAAATAGCTTAAAGGGGCTAGTAATATTAACCTTAAAATGGTGTTAAAAAAATTAAAACTGCTTTTATTCTAGCCGAAATAAAACAAATAAGACTTTCTCCAGAAGAAAAAATATTATCAGACATACTGTGAAAATTGGCTTGCTCTGTTAAACATAATTTGGGAAATATTTACAAAGGGAAAAAAAATTAAAAGGGGGGCTAATAATTCTGTCTGTATATGCTATAAGATTGCAGGCTAACTATGCCTGTATATAATAACTTATATTTGATTGTAACTTTAACTTAATTTAATTGTATTGCAATAATGTACACCTTTTGTAAAGTTGCTTTGAAACAATAGTTTTTGTAATACAACTTGAATTTTCATTAACTTGAATTGAATTAAACATCAAGCAATAAACAACTTTTTTTTTTCAAAATACTGAAACCATATGCCAAGTTATTTTCAAATGTATATCTGTACAGAATTTTATTGGTAACAGTTTATAGGATTCTAGTGGATGGAAGTAAATGGTTTAACCTAATTATTTGATTTTAAAAATGGCCAATAGAATTAATGAGGTAACAATAAAGAATTTCCCTTTATGACAAAAAAATAAGTCATTTCTGACCATATTATATACTGGTCCTGAGACTTTCACATTCATAAATTGTATTAACGTTTCTCTCCTTTTCCACTGAAATGCAGCCATGGTGAGCAGAAAACTCTAAACATTGGAGATTAGATAGACACCACATAAACTATATTCCAAACTTTTGACAGTCAGCCGGTATATTTCAAACTTTCCAAAAAATTCAAGTTGTGTTTCTGATCTCTCACCTTTGGCCTTGTGTCCACCACATACATGAACTCACTGACAGGGTTTGACTTCATGATCGCTTGCAGCATCTGCTCATCGTCTGAGGATCGTGCGCTGAAGCCAGAGAGGGGCTGACTGCTCCGACAGATCGATGCCTAGAAAAACAACATCAACAATGGGGTGACTACACAGAATGCAGATGAAGATATTACCACATAATAGTAAAGGTCTGAGTTTAAAGTAGAGCTCTTACACTGGTGTCTCTGTGGAAGTAGGAGAGAACAGGAAGACGCCCTCGACTCCGGAACTTGGCACTGCCCACAATCACAGCAGGAGAGGCTGACTTTGGCACAAACAGCTCTGACGGGTAGGTGTCACACAACTGCCAATCAAAATATGCTGATTAGAACTATTGTTTGACCTTCCTGTAAAATACATTCCTGTTCTTTATCAAAAATATAACAAACTACGTTTAATATTGCTGTTCACAATGCAACATAAGCTGCAGTTCTCAAAATATGGATCTTTTTTGAAAAAGGGAAATCATGTTTATTGACTCTAAAGGCACAGATATACTTCAAGTAAGATCAAAGAACCAACTGGTGTACCAGTATCATGGTGCACCAGAAAATGTGAGGGGTTTGAAACAGCTCCCTAAAAAATGTTGTGTTCAATCCCAGCAGGCACACAACATCATAAGACGTTAATATTAGCTTGGATTAGGTCATGATATCGGGTGACCAAAATTCAATGTCCAGCCAGCGTCTAAGGACAACATTATTTTGATGTCAAATAACGACATCAAATGATGTTGATAATTAGTTGATTTAAGGTTGAGTTGGAAAGTGACCAAAATCCAACATCCTGACGTCAAATGCTGACAGTTATTCATCAGGCATGGCAACCAAAATCCAACATCTGATAGACTTCATAGTGGTAATGCCCACATAAAGGCATGCGGTAACATCATTGTTATTGTGGTAGCATCATTGACGTTGATATTTGGTTATTTTTACGTTACAAAATCCAATGTTGGACACTGTCATAGGTCTGAGATTGGGTTCTGACATCAACCCAATTTTCATTCATTCATTCATTCATTCATTTTCTTGTCGGCTTAGTCCCTTTATTAATGCGGGGTCGCCACAGCGGCATGAACCGCCAACTTATCCAGCAAGTTTTTACGCAGCGGATGCCCTTCCAGCTGCAACCCATCTCTGGGAAACATCCACACACTCATACACTACCGACAATTTAGCCTACCCAATTCACCTGTACCCAGGCCCATGCAGAGACTGTCAAAAGGGCATGTGCAGGATATGTGCACCCGGAGGAAACCCACGCGAACGCAGGGAGAACATGCAAACTCCACACAGAAATGCCAACTGAGCCGAAGTTTGAACATGCGAACCTTCTTGCTGTGAGGCGACAGCACTACCTACTGCGACACTGCTTCGACACAATTTTCATTTTCACCCAGAATGCAACGTTCCACTATATAGTAGGTGTTGTGGTTTAAAGGCTTTACCTTTGTTACTGAAAGAAACAATGGAGACTTAAAAATAGACGGTAAAAAGCTACTTTAAAGTAGAAACCTGATTGATATCAACTGAGAGAATAAAGAGCTACACTGTAAACCCTAATGTTGTCTTTACTTTAATAAAGTAAAGTTGACTGAACATTACTTAAAACTTAGCATTTAGGTCCTATCACTTACAAATATGAGTCAATTTAACTTTTGTACCATGAAAATGCATAAACTTACGATTTCAAGTGTAGTGAGCTTAAAATCATAATTAATCCTTTGAAAAAAATAGGTCATTTTCACAAATGTAGTCTTGACTGTAAAATTCTAAACTACTTCTAACTGTTTGTATTGTGAAGTCCTAGTTGGGAAACGGTGCGTTTTAAGCTCAGCCTAAGGACTTCCTTATTGTCCAGATAACTGAATGTTTGGAAAATGTATTGGTATGCTGTCTGAATAAGATTTGACGTTTTGGATGCCTTCATTATGAAGTTTCATTCCTCAATTTTCTGCAAGCTGTTAAATCAACGCAAAAGTAGATTAACATATTTCCACGCACTCAATGTTTTTTTTAGTCCGAATCAGTGACCAGTTTTTTTTGTAGACTATACTTAAATTGTTCAGTTCAAAAAACTTAGTGCTCAGTTTGGTGAACCAAACAATTTAAGTATAGTCTACAAAACCAGCAAGTTAAATAAACTTAAATATGCAAGTTTTGAGAGACTCCATTACGCAATTAAATTGAGGCAACGAGTTTACTCAATTAATTTAGTTCAGTCAACTTAAGGGAAAAAAAATCATGTGACATAACGTAGCCATAGTGCAAACACATCTACATTGTGATTATTAGACTTGAAAATCTGTTTTTCATGTTGTCTTGGTTGTATTTTTATTGCACAGCATATCTGTATATTCATCTAGACTCCACTCTTAGCAATTTGAGTACATGAGGGCCTTAAAGGTCCTGTGAAATGCTTTGAAATGTGCATTTTTTCATTTAATGTTTGGCGTAATCTCAACAGAAACAAGAAGACAGGGCGGGAATTACGTTTTTACCACAGATCTGCCAGAACATCAAATGAAAAGCAATTGAGAAGCTTATTGAAGTGTGCGGGATATGTCAGATACTATAGAGCACTTGATGGGTCAGAAAATTTGATGAGAAACTGAAGTATAAGGTGATGTAATAAAACAAAAATCACCGACTCATTTACGCGAAAGTGACTAACTGCAAGTTTCATATCTTCTAAATGCAAATGATATAACTGAGTGCACAAGCTTATAGATATCCCTAAGACTAATATACTGATACTAACATTAAAAAAAAAAATAATTTAATATCATGGGAACTTTAAAGAACTTTAACAGGATGTCTGAACTCATACTGACTCTGTACTCATGATTGGCTGCTGTGACATGCCAGAGGTTGCTGGGTATTCCCATTCGATTGAATTCTGCCTTCAGGTCCATGAAGCCCCATGCCTTTTCCCTTAATTCTTTATCCAGGTTTGGGTTAAAAGAGAAGCAAAACAGCTCTCCATAGCGCTCTATGAAAAAAAGAAATCTTATTAATATATATGTGCAGGTCCCATAGTTAAATCTCACAACGCTGAACATGAATAGTGCTCTGACGTTGTCCGCATTTCACAGACATTGTGCTTTTGCAATGCATGGTGATGCAACAGATAAGATTTGGCATTGTCTAAGCAAAAAAAGTCACAGTGTTAGCTTTCCTCAGAAGAGAAACGCAAATCCATGGATCATTATACATGCTTCACCAATATCATATGCAGGTAAATTTGTTACATGATTTGCAATGTTGCAAGGAAACAGCTTGTCTGAGAAATACTGTAAAAATCATATAGTGAAAGCAAATTTATTGGTTAACTATAAATAACCTTAGTATATACAACGGACATTACAATTTCATCATTTATATAAATGTTTTTTTTTTTCTTAAGTAAAATTATTTAAGGTGAAAAACAGTCCAATTATACTTAAAGAGAATGACTATATTTTATTGATATGGTTTATAAAATCTTTGGTACTTAGGATAATTTTCATTACTTCATGAAATATATAGTCCAATAAACCAATACACTATTCTGTAATACCTAACCACAGCTGCCTTTTTTTAAAAACCATTTCATAAACCATTTTTAATAGTCATTATTATATTTTAGAGTTGCATAAAGTATTACACAAGTATAGTTAACATTTGGCTATCCAACATGCTTTCTGATTCTAAAAGAAGAACCCAGAAATATTCTGAATCACGTTTAACACTGATAGAAAGATGGTATTAAGTTGAATAAAAGTCAATACAATCGAGTGGCAATTCATAACTTTGATTTAGGTCTGGGGCCACGCCTCCTTAATAAAATCATATATATTCATACAATTGAAGTCCTATGTATTTGCATAAATAAGCCACTTTTCTGACAATATGTATAATAGTTCTGGTAAAGCTAAATTCTCTGACATTTTTTAAAATGTATTTATTATTTGTATTTTACCTGGCCGTGAGAGACGAGTGAGGGAAGCCACCACATCTAAACAGTCCTTCTCTTGTGGGATCAGCAGTCTGTAAACAATGAAGTTTTTGCAGCGGATAATGACAGGACTTCCTGATGGGTTTGTTGGGAGTCTCTCCACGTTACTCACCAAACTGTGCAGAACCTTGTGGAGCAATAATCAGGAATCTTATTTAGATTTTGGAGCCATTCTTTTTTTAGGTAAACAACTAGACAAGCACAATGACTTTTTAGACTATCGACCATTATGAGAAACAAAATCAATGGAACATTTTTCATTTCTATAGCTTCTGAAAATCCAAAACGAGCCACATAATGATAAAAAATGTTGTGATATCAGTTTTAACATTAAGTTATGATTGAATTGCTTCTTGTTACATTTATGAAATAGTTTGATAACAAGCAGGAAATGTTCATGGGCCAGTGACATCATCACATTGAAATGGTCTATAGCCGAGTAAAATATCACAATAACAAATTAAAAACTCAAATTAACTTTTTAATACTTACAAATAATTCTACCATTACTGCAATTATAGCCAACCTTACCCTAATACAAACACTACATTAAGAAGTACTTTAAACTTCATGGCTCATTATTATGTTGTTGAAAACTATATTAACTATATTATCACACAGCATTAAATTAAAAGTTGCATTCGTAGCATCTAAAGACATACAGAACATTTCGGTAAAGCACTTTATTATATCGCAAATTTCTTCTGCGTGATTCTTTTTAGATTGTGTGTTGCAAAATGTAAACTGCAAATATAACCTTGAATACGTTTCATACAAATAAATGCATACAGTACACTCACACATAGCAATTTTATTTTATTATATTATTTTTCTTTTTTTTTTACAAAATGTAACTGGGTCAAAGACAAAAAGTCAATTGACGACATCAGGGTGTCTGCAGGGCCTTAAAAGTATTTAAAGTTAATAAATCGATGTAGAGAAATGTAAGGCCCTTAAAAAGTATTAAAAAGTCTTAAAGTTTTAATTAATTTAATTAATTAGCTAATTTGCAAGGTATTAAATGTTGCTGTATGCTAAAGTTTGCCTGGATTAAATCTGCAAATATCAGGATGCTGTGTAATTATAAAAAAAAATCTATGAAATCCTGCTAAATTTGACATCATGCTGCTTTGTTTACTGCAGTTCCCAAGGCAATACCATTATTTTTGCAGCTCTATAGGTGCCAACCTGCTGAATTAGCTAGATTTAATAGATTTTTATTCAGTATATGAATAATGTTTTAGTTTTGGATTATTTTTTTACATTAATATTTAGTAAATATACTGTAAGTTAAAATCTTGCCACTGTTTCTGGTTGAAAAGTAGTTATAAAGTCTTAAAATTTATGGAAAGAGTCCTAATAAAGGTCTTAAAAGGTATTGAATTTCACTCTCTGATTCCTGTATATACTCTGGACATATTAAATGTGATTTTATATCTTTAAACCACTAGATTTAACACATTTACACAATAAAATACATGTTAAAATTAATATTATCACTTACTCTTTCCTGCATTTTAAGAAGTACCAGCCAGAACAATTATGTGGTTTATTTATTATTATTATTATCACACAAGTATCTGTCTCACAGTTACTATTATTTCATTCATATTTTGACTTCTGATTCCCACAAAACAAAATTGAAACATTAACGCAGATGTTTTACTTTCATTTAACAATGCTTTTTAATATCTAAAGTATCTCTATATATCTTTTTATCTCCCAAAAATATTATTCCCCAGTAAACTATACTATAACCCAGCTCTGATTTGCTAAATGTGATTATAAAGCATGAAGATACTAAGATATTCTGAAATCATGATGTTCCATAAAACTGTGAAATCAGTTGTAAAAAGCATCACATATACATATAAATACATATGAATTATTAAAGAGCCTACTACAGTATAAATGCTGTCAGACACTATTGTTAGGTCTTGGCAAAAGACAATTTATTGTGTTTATATTAGACTTGTAACTGAACTGTTTTATAGTAGCCAAAAGTCAGAAGACAGCAAATGCATTTTAATTGTCGTAATTTATAGAAGACATGCAGTTGATGACACATTAGTTGAGTTGTTAAATCTGTGGTTAAAACACTTGGCTTCACTTTCGAGAGGAAGCCTAATTGTCTGCATGAAAGGGTTTCGATTCCTACCCAGGTCTCTTTGCGGGCTTCCGAGTTCTCTACAAATATAGTGTGAGTAGAGGAGAGGTATAATGTTCCCACTGTAGCCTTCCTCGGAGTCCGTCGATCAATCATACGCACATTTTCCACCTGCAATAAAAACAATACATTAATTAATACTCCAACCTTGTGGTTTGCAGTTTTACAGTGCATTTAATGACTCTGGATGGTCATACACATTGTAATTATCCCATAATAATTTTCTATTATTTTATATCTATTATTTTCCTAAAATAGCCATTTAATAATGAGGGATATACCTTAGGACCACAGCATCTGTTCTTGTCCTACTCATAACCTAAATTAATTTGTCCTTGAAAACAAAGAATTGTAAAATTTCACACAAAGCCAAAATATCCTACACAATCTGCTGACTCTGATGATGTATCAGTAGTGCTGAGGCTGAATCATTATTCAGATCTTGTTACAATGCACTGGGTGAAGGAGGATGGGGGTCTGCACTGTGGCCTATCATCTGGGTCTGTCCTATTAAGCCCTTTAATTCACACAAAATTAATTTAGGTGTCAAATGTTGCGTTTATATACAACATATGTTAGGAAAATGAATGAGAATTTTTGCATCATTTCAAGGGTTGAAAAACATACTGGCATATAAAGAACATCAGCGGTACCTTTGGTGTTCTGATGTGCTCCATCCTAAAGACGCCCGTCCAAATGATGCGCAGAAAATTAATCCGGACCGTCCGGGGATTCGCCTTTATTTCCGGTCAAAAAAAGAGAGCGAGGGGTCGCATGCTGGTTATGACAACAGACAATGGGATGGTTGGCAGGTAGTGTAATTCAAGCCATGGTGGTTCTGGTCTCAGTGCGGAGATCCGCTGTGCGCTCAGACAGACTGGTACACGGTGGACAACACACAGAGCGCACACGCGCAATACGAACTCTACTATGGCGAAGGATTACTTCATAAATATTTACGACGGCGTTTGACGTTAATCTTATAGCCCTCACTGATTGGTTAAAAGGCGGCCAATGAAGGTGGGCTTTAGTCAGAGAGCGAATGAAAGATTGTCACTATGAAGAAGGCAGTTTGTGAATTTTAATGAGACGCTTTGTAGGAAGGTAAGCGTGCTACGTCACAAGGAACTGTTTAATATTTATGACCCAATCCCTCGCTTTAGTAGGGTATGTATTTCGAATTACGGTGGATTATTTTACTACAGCGCACGCGCACGCTTCTCGTCCTTTATCTGTCCGTTTGTGTTAAATATTCTTGTTCGAAAGCAATAAGGTATGACCAGAGGCACGATTTAAATCTGTAATTTGTACCATTTTAATGACAATTTCCTAATTCCAGGAATTCACTGATTCAGAGTTGTTCAAACTGAATTAACATGCAAAGTTCAAAGAGCTGTTATTTGTGCCACGGTTCAGTGTCCCTGTCGTTACGTTTGGCTTTTTTTTGTTGTGGCTTTTTTAGGTTAGATGCTCTTTTTTTCCACGAGGTGGCGATAAATTACCACCGAACACCTATCGGCCACTTTATTAGGCACACATTACTTGGACTCCCTTTTGCCTTCAGAACTGCTTTTTACCTTCGTAGCATTGATTCAACAAAGTACAGGAAATATTCCTTAGAGATTTTGATCCATCTTGACATAATAACATCACACCGTTGCTGCAGATTTGTCGGCTGCACATCCATGATGCGAATCTCCCATTCCACCACATCCCAAAGGTGCTCTATTGGATTGAGTTCTGGTGACAGTGGAGGCCATTTGAGTACAGTGATATGCTCAGTTGGTACAAATGGGCTTCCATCCCATTACACCACCACCAGCAGCCTGAACTGTTGATAAAAGGCAGAATGGATTTATGCTTTCATGTTGTTGACACCGTATTCTAACCCTTCCATCCAAATGTTGCAGCAGAAATCGAGACTCATCTGACCAGCCATCGTTATTTCAATCTTGTATTGTCCAATTTTGGTAAGCCTGTGTGAATTGTAGCCTTAGTTTTCTGTTCTTAGCTCACAGGAGCGGCACCCAGTGTGGTCATTTGCTGCTGTAGCTCATCCGCCTCAAGGGTGGATACGCTGTGCATTCAGAAATGCTCTTCTGCATACCTCAGTTTTAACAAGGTATTTATTTCAGTTACTGTTGCCTTTCTACCAGCTCAAACCAGTATGGCCATTCTCATCTGATCCTGGCATCAACAAGGCATTTGCGCCCACAGAACTGCCATTCACTGGATATTTTCTCCTTTTTGGACCATTCTCTTTAAACCAGAGATGTTTGTGCCTGAAAATTACAGTAGATCAGCAGTTTCTGAAATACTCAGACCAGCCCGTCTGGCACTAACAACCATGTCTTGTTCAAAGTCACTTAAATCACCTTTCTTCCACGTTCTGATGCTCAGTTTGAACTGCAGCAGATCACCTTGACCATGTCTACATAGAGTTGCTGCCATGTGATTGGCTGATTAGAAATTTGTGTTAACGAGCAGTTGAACAGGGGTACCTAATAAAGTGGCCACTGAGTGTATATCTTTTTACAGTTTCACACAGCAGCAGTTTACAACCATGGTCCGTAAAAAAGCGGTCTTTCTTTCTTTCTTTCTTTCTTTCTTTCTTTTTTTCTTTCTTTCTTTCTTTCTTTTTTTCTTTCTTTCTTTCTTTCTTTCTTTCTTTCTTTCTTTCTTTCTTTCTTTCATTCTTTCTTTCTTTCTTTCTTTCATTCTTTCTTTCTTTCTTTCTTTCTTTCATTCTTTCTTTCTTTCTTTCTTTCTTTCTTTCTTTCAAGCATTAAATTATTTTGTAGGTGAGCAATTCCATCCAAATGTCAACCCTGCCATGAAAAAAATTAAGTTTTCGCAAAAATATTGAAACCATTTGTACTTTTTATGTGTAAGCTAGTATTTTACATTGCTTTAAAAATACTCAAAAATGTCTCTGTTAATGTTTTCAAAGTATTATGTTTAATTTATCAAAATTACACAAATGCCAATTTAACATCTGTCACATTCATAACAGAGATTTTTCCTCATAAATGCAAAAAACGTCAAATAAAATCAAATCAATCGTTTTTGTTCTATAGTGAGCCAACTCATATCTTTTTAATGAGCATTGTTTCTTTTGGGTTGTGCGGTTTAATTCACATAATTTCTACAAAGTATGTTGTATACTGTAAACTTGTTAACCTTTTTAATCACATCCATGTTGCATGTTTATTTTCCTCATTAAAATATATAAATATTAATGTTTACAGATTGATATTTTTCTGATCCCATAACTCAGTGGTTAGCAGTTTTGGAAATAAACAGATGTTTCAATATAGGCAGCACGGTGGCGCAATGGGTAGCACAATCGCCTCACAGCAAGAAGGTTGCTGGTTCGAGCCTCGGCTGAGTCAGATGCTATTTCTGTGTAGAGTTTGCATGTTCTCCCCATGTTTGCGCGGGTTTCCTCCGGGTGCTCTGGTTTTTCCCCCCACAATTCCTAAGACATGCGGTATAGGTGAATTGGGTTAGCTAAATTGTCAGTATGTGTGTGTGTATGGATGTTTGCCAGTGATGCTGGATAAATTGGGGTTCATTCCGCTGTGCGACCCCAGATTAATGAATGGACTAAGCTGAAAAGAAAATGAATGAGTGAATGTTTCAATATAATGTTAATGTATACTTTCTCTGTGAATGTATGTTTTGAGATTTTACTGCATATGTCACAATCATAACTCTGGATTTGCTCAGGCCTATATTTAATTTTTAATTGTCTATTTGAATAATCATTAATTATGTTTTGGTGATGTTTTGTAATCTCTATCCAGTGTCCAGTCCTCTTCTTGTTCACTTTGACCACTGCCAGAGGATATACTGGCCATTTATAATCAAAGCTGATTTATTTATTTATTTGCTGTTGTGGGTAAAGATTTATTATTGGTAAAATGCTTATATTGGGAACTGGTAATAAATCAGATTCACTCAACACTGGAAAACTGGGACACCAGAAGCCTATACAAGTTTATATAACTGACCTTTAGTCTGACATACTTTGTTGTTTGCTGATTGTGATCGATTGTGTATTTAATAGGCTCTTCAACGATTTCTAAACGAAATGAGATACAGTTGAATTAAATAATTCAAATGACTTTTGAACTCTTTTTTTAAACCCACTATCAGATGTACCCCGTCTAACTGGTCGTTTTTACGACTGTTTCATAAATGTTCAGCATTATGATTAAATTATTAGACAGTATTTGCACAACTATTACACACACACACACACCCGTAAATATTCTGTAATTCATTTACAGATCAGATCGCAGACAGTGGTCTGGTTGCTTCTGCAGTGGGCGGGACTAATACGTAAGCTCTAACCTCATTGGCTAGTCGCACAGCGGCAAACTGGATAAATCTGTTTAAGTTACCGTGAGATCATGTCAGGATTGTGAGGTAAGATTTAAAGAACAATAACATGTTCATAATCATTAAGTGTTTAAATAGATAATTTAGCGTGTCGTTTATACTTAGGCTAAGTAGTGTTTTATTGAAAAAAATGCAGACTTTCACACCCGCCTTAAATATACATACAGGCCTATTACCACGATGCGAATTATACATTAACGATTTGGGGGGTCAAGCTTAAAGATTTTGTTCGGTAATGTGCCTCAATTAACCAAATTCATATATTTAATTCAATTACATCTAATTTATTTGAGGGATATTGAGTGGTTCTCAGTGACGTGTGATATTAAGTAAACGGTGGCAGATTTGCTTTTCTGCACTTGGATGACCACGTAAGGTTTACAGACACCTACAAACACAATTTTTAAAGAAACAGCTTTTGGGAACCGGTGTCTGTAAGTGCTCTAGATTTGCTGGTTTCAAACCGATAAATCCATATTTCTGGCACAAACATGCATTCACAATGGTATGAATGAACTATGAACCATTATAGGGGTGGTCAAATGTACATTGAAGTTATCTACTATTTTCATTAATTTAATCATTTTCTTTTCGGCTTAGTCCCTTTATTAATCTGGGGTCGCTACAGCGGAATGAACCACCAACTTAACCAGCATATGTTTTACGCCAGGGGTTCTCAACTGGTTTGGCCATGGGACCCACATTTTTACATGGTCATCAAGCCGTGACCCAAATTTTTAAGAACTATAATATAAGTTAAAGAATTATAATTAATTTGTATTTATTTGTTAACATACACAAGTAGTGACAGATCATAAGACGTTCACCGAGACTTACAAATAAACAATATTTTACTGCTGTCATTTAACAAAGTGGATCAAATTATATTACAAAGAGTAAAATATTACAAAGTAAAAACGACAAAAACTGTAAACAGTGATTAGAAAATGTTCCTGTTAGGAACTGTTAATAAAACATGTTTTCTGGTTTCTAAATGTTTTAATATGACACTGAGGCTTTAAGTCTTTTTTGTCGTCAATATATGTAAATCCATACTTTACATATTCGGGTTTGTACTTGCGCTTCAACATATTTGTTGCTGTAATTAAATTAAATTTCAGATGTCAAACGTCATGGTTGTTGCGCACGAATTTCAAAATAAAAGTCCGGTTAAGCCAAATAAGTTCAAAATTTAACTTTTGTTGTTTTGTTTTTTTTGACCACACACTCCGCGACCCACTGAAAATGTTCCCGCAACCCACCAGTTGAGAAACCCTGTTTTATGCAGCGGATGCATCCACACAATACACTACGGCCAATATACACAACGGATTGTGGGGGAAAACCGGAGCACCCAGAGGAAACCCACACAAAACAAACTCCACACAGAAATGTTAACTGACCCAGCCAGGGCTCGAACAAGCAACCTTCTTGCTGTAAGGCCACATCTATTTTTTAATTATTAATATAATTAAGTTAATAAAGTTACAGATCAAACTACAAGGCAGAGAAACATGTTGAA